TATTGTTCCACCACATCTAGTACCTAGACACCAACATTCAGATCTTCCAGATGAATTCTTGGTGTTGCGGCTGCTCGACGCCGTAGGTAAAGTCGTGCCGAAGACTGCTGTCGCGTGTGAATCGTGTCTGTGATAATATATAAGAAGATATCATCACGAGCAGCAACAACTGTCGGATCCGCTAGCATGATGTCACTGAGTCTGACCGTGCAAGTTGCCCCCCCCTGTTGAGAGTATTATGTACGAGATGATATCCGTGGCGGGTTAGAACATAAGCAGCGTACGTAGGTGGTGGCCAACATGCCACCAGCCGAAGACATGCAGAGGTGAAAGACGCTGAATGCTTTGACGATTGAAGATTGTGCTGCCGGCGAGTGTGGATGTTCTCTCTTAGTGTTGTCAGTATTTGATAAAGGCGTGCGGTATGCGCTGTATCTATGGGTGGTAGCACAGGTCGTGACGGTATGTGCGGGGTGGTCGTGAGTTTGGTTTGGTTGATTTGAATCTGATGAGGGTAAGAGTGGATATCTATGTTTTTTGTTGCATAACGATGACAGCTTGGCCGAGTGGTTAAGGCGTTAGCCTGCTAAGTTAATGGGGCAACCCGCGTGAGTTCGAATCTCACAGCTGTCGTTTTCCTTTACCTCAGCAGACTCGCGGTAGCAAAAACCAATCTGAAAATGCTGGTGGATGCACGGACTGGGCTGGTAGTCCTTCCCTTTTCGACGAAAGTGGTTCTGGATGTGAGGCCCAAGGCTAGCAGCTATATGTCGGTGACGCGAGGCGTGTGGTAGGAACCACTTCGGTGGTCATCCGTAAAAATTGGAACGATACAGAGAAGATTAGCATGGCCCCTGCGCAAGGATGACACGCATAAATCGAGAAGTATCGCACTTTTTGCTTGGTGGCGTGGTCGTGTGCTCGGCTGATAGTGAGCATTGTAACTGTGCGGCTGTTAAGGTGGGAAAACGGACAGAGAAACGAAGGACGCGCAAAAGCTTAAAGCATGAGGGAAGAGGGGATCGAACCCCCGACCGCTGGGACTGGAATCCAGCGCTCTACCACTGAGCTATTCCCCCGATACCAAAACCCAATGTCCACACATGCAGACTCCATCCACACACCGATACGCATTACGAGATCCACAATTTCTACCCACTCACCCCGCCACATCTCACCCTTCTTTACTTCTACGACGAAACCACGTCACGAGCACCTCGCACACATATCTCCGCTCATCGAAGCGTTGTTTGAAGTGGCGGAGCCCTTACCGATGCGTCGCAGCAGCTTTAAGGAAAGGAGTTGATGTGGCAATGTGGCATGCGCTGAGTTGGCGGTGATGTAGTAGTTGACGTATGGTGTATGCATGGACGGTGAGTGCGATGTATGCATGTTCGTGCGTATGCTTTTATTGTGGTGTATGTGGTGCTCGTGCTGTGAATGTGTCTCTTTGTCCGTAAGCCCCTATAGCTCAGTGGTAGAGCACTCGCTTCGTAAGCGAAAGGTCGGTGGTTCGATCCCGCCTGGGGGCTCTTCTTTTGCCTCTCCTGCCTCACTACTTCCTTACCGATGCCTTCAGCTGACTAGCTTGCTAGTTTGCTAGTTTGTTATTGTGCACTTTGCGTGACCAGCCTGTCCGTAGCCACACTCAATGCTCGCTCTGTTGTACGCTGACCGCCCTTCATTATTGTTCCACCACGTCTAATACCTAGACACCAACATTCAGATATTCCAGATGAATTCTTGGTGTTGCGGCTGCTCGACGCCGTAGGTAAAGTCGTGCCGAAGACTGCTGTCGCGTGTGAATCGTGTCTGTGACAATATATAAGAAGATATCATTACGAGCTGCAACAACGGTCGGATCCGCTAGCATGATGTCACTGAGTCTGACCGTGCAAGTTGCCCCCCCCTGTTGAGAGTATTATGTACGAGATGATATCCGTGGCGGGTAGAACATAAGCAGCGTACGTAGGTGGTGGCCAACATGCCACCAGCCGAAGACATGCAGAGGTGAAAGACGCTGAATGCTTTGACGATTAAAGATTGTGCTGCCGGCGAGTGTGGATGTTCTCTCTTAGTGTTGTCAGTATTTGATAAAGGCGTGCGGTATGCGCCGTATCTATGGGTGGTAGCACAGGTCGTGACGGTATGTGCGGGGTGGTCGTGAGTTTGGTTTGGTTGATTTGAATCTGATGAGGGTGGGAGTGGGCATCTATGTTTTTGTTGCATAACGATGACAGCTTGGCCGAGTGGTTAAGGCGTTAGCCTGCTAAGTTAATGGGGCAACCCGCGTGAGTTCGAATCTCACAGCTGTCGTTTTCCTTTACCTCTGCAGACTCGCGGTAGCAAAAGCGGCTATTTCCTGGCCTGCTGACCAGGTAGATCGATACCTCTGCTTGTTGCTGGATAATGGTCCCGACCAACACACGTGGCCAAGCGTGTGAAGACATTGCGCAGCTAATCTGGAAATGCTGGTGGATGCATGGACTGGGCTGGTAGTCCTTCCCTTTTCGACGAAAGCGGTTCTGGATGTGAGGCCCAAGGCTAGCAGCTATATGTCGGTGACGCGGGTCGTGTGGTAGGAACCACTTCGGTGGTCATCCGTAAAAATTGGAACGATACAGAGAAGATTAGCATGGCCCCTGCGCAAGGATGACACGCATAAATCGAGAAGTATCGCACTTTGTGCTTGGTGGCGTGGTCGTGGGCTCGGCTGATGGTGAGCATTGTAACCGTGCGGCTGTTAAGGTGGGAAGACGGACAGAGAAACGAAGGACGCGCAAAAGCTTAAAGCATGAGGGAAGAGGGGATCGAACCCCCGACCGCTGGGACTGGAATCCAGCGCTCTACCACTGAGCTATTCCCCCGATATCAAAACCCAATGTCCAAACATGCAAACTGCATCCACACACCGATACGCATTCCGAGATCCACAATTTCTACCCACTCTTCTTTACTTCTACGACGAAACCACGTCACGAGCACCTCGCACACATCTCTCCGCTCATCGAAGCGTCGTGTGAAGTGGCGGAGCCCTTACCGATGCGTCGCAGCAGCTTTAAGGAAAGGAGTTGATGTTGCAATGTGGCATGCGCTGAGTGGGCGGTGATGTAGTAGTTGACGTATGGTGTATGCATGGACGGTGAGTGCGATGTATGCATGTTCGTGCGTATGTTTTTATTGTGGTGTATGTGGTGCTCGTGCTGTGAATGTGTCTCTTGGAGTCGAGGTCCGTAAGCCTCTATAGCTCAGTGGTAGAGCACTCGCTTCGTAAGCGAAAGGTCGGTGGTTCGATCCCGCCTGGGGGCTCTTCTTTTGCCTCTCCTGCCTCACTACTTCCTTACCGATGCCTTCAGCTTACTAGCTTGCTAGCTTGCTAGTTTGTTATTGTGCACTTTGCGTGACCAGCCTGTCCGTAGCCACACTCAATGCTCGCTCTGTTGTACGCTGACCGCCCTTCATTATTGTTCCACCACGTCTAATACCTAGACACCAACATTCAGATATTCCAGATGAATTCTTGGTGTTGCGGCTGCTCGACGCCGTAGGTAAAGTCGTACCGAAGACTGCTGTCGCGTGTGAATCGTGTCTGTGACAATATATAAGAAGATATCATTACGAGCTGCAACAACTGTCGGATCCGCTAGCATGATGTCACTGAGTCTGACCGTGCAAGTTGCCCCCCCCCTGTTGAGAGTATTATGTACGAGATGATATCCGTGGCGGGTAGAACATAAGCAGCGTACGTAGGTGGTGGCCAACATGCCACCAGCCGAAGACATGCAGAGGTGAAAGACGCTGAATGCTTTGACGATTAAAGATTGTGCTGCCGGCGAGTGTGGATGTTCTCTCTTAGTGTTGTCAGTATTTGATAAAGGCGTGCGGTATGCGCCGTATCTATGGGTGGTAGCACAGGTCGTGACGGTATGTGCGGGGTGGTCGTGAGTTTGATTTGGTTGATTTGAATCTGATGAGGGTAAGAGTGGATATCTATGTTTTTTGTTGCATAACGATGACAGCTTGGCCGAGTGGTTAAGGCGTTAGCCTGCTAAGTTAATGGGGCAACCCGCGTGAGTTCGAATCTCACAGCTGTCGTTTTCCTTTACCTCAGCAGACTCGCGGTAGCAAAAGCGGCTATTTCCTGGCCTGCTGACCAGGTAGATAGATACCTCTGCTTGTTGCTGGATAATGGTCCCGACCAACACACGTGGCCAAGCGTGTGAAGACATTGCGCAGCTAATCTGGAAATGCTGGTGGATGCATGGACTGGGCTGGTAGTCCTTCTCTTTTCGACGAAAGTGGTTCTGGATGTGAGGCCCAAGGCTAGCAGCTATATGTCGGTGACGCGGGTCGTGTGGTAGGAACCACTTCGGTGGTCATCCGTAAAAATTGGAACGATACAGAGAAGATTAGCATGGCCCCTGCGCAAGGATGACACGCATAAATCGAGAAGTATCGCACTTTTTGCTTGGTGGCGTGGTCGTGTGCTCGGCTGATGGTGAGCATTGTAACCGTGCGGCTGTTAAGGTGGGAAGACGGACAGAGAAACGAAGGACGCGCAAAAGCTTAAAGCATGAGGGAAGAGGGGATCGAACCCCCGACCGCTGGGTCTGGAATCCAGCGCTCTACCACTGAGCTATTCCCCCGATATCATAACCCAATGTCCAAACATGCAAACTCCATTCACACACCGATACGCATTCCGAGATCCACAATTTCTACCCACTCTTCTTTACTTCTACGACGAAACCACGTCACGAGCACCTCGCACACATCTCTCCGCTCATCGAAGCGTCGTGTGAAGTGGTGGAGCCCTTACCGATGCGTCGCAGCAGCTTTAAGGAAAGGAGTTGATGTTGCAATGTGGCATGCGCTGAGTGGGCGGTGATGTAGTAGTTGACGTATGGTGTATGCATGGACGGTGAGTGCGATGTATGCATGTTCGTGCGTATGTTTTTATTGTGGTGTATGTGGTGCTCGTGCTGTGAATGTGTCTCTTGGAGTCGAGCAGTGGTAGAGCACTCGCTTCGTAAGCGAAAGGTCGGTGGTTCGATCCCGCCTGGGGGCTCTTCTTTTGCCTCTCCTGCCTCACTACTTCCTTACCGATGCCTTCAGCTTACTAGCTTGCTAGTTTGCTAGTTTGCTATTGTGCACTTTGCGTGACCAGCCTGTCCGTAGCCACACTCAATACTCGCTCTGTTGTACGCTGACCGCTCTTCATTATTGTTCCACCACATCTAGTACCTAGACACCAACATTCAGATATTCCAGATGAATTCTTGGTGTTGCGGCTGCTCGACGCCGTAGGTAAAGTCGTGCCGAAGACTGCTGTCGCGTGTGAATCGTGTCTGTGAAAATATATAAGAAGATATCATTACGAGCTGCAACAACTGTCGGATCCGCTAGCATGATGTCACTGAGTCTGACCGTGCAAGTTGCCCCCCCCTGTTGAGAGTATTATGTACGAGATGATATCCGTGGCGGGTTAGAACATAAGCAGCGTACGTAGGTGGTGGCCAACATGCCACCAGCCGAAGACATGCAGAGGTGAAAGACGCTGAATGCTTTGACGATTGAAGATTGTGCTGCCGGCGAGTGTGGATGTTCTCTCTTAGTGTTGTCAGTATTTGATAAAGGCGTGCGGTATGCGCTGTATCTATGGGTGGTAGCACAGGTCGTGACGGTATGTGCGGGGTGGTCGTGAGTTTGGTTTGGTTGATTTGAATCTGATGAGGGTGGGAGTGGATATCTATGTTTTTTGTTGCATAACGATGACAGCTTGGCCGAGTGGTTAAGGCGTTAGCCTGCTAAGTTAATGGGGCAACCCGCGTGAGTTCGAATCTCACAGCTGTCGTTTTCCTTTACCTCAGCAGACTCGCGGTAGCAAAAGCGGCTATTTCCTGGCCTGCTGACCAGGTAGATAGATACCTCTGCTTGCTGCTGGATAATGGTCCCGACCAACACACGTGGCCAAGCGTGTGAAGACATTGCGCAGCTAATCTGAAAATGCTGGTGGATGCATGGACTGGGCTGGTAGTCCTTCTCTTTTCGACGAAAGTGGTTCTGGATGTGAGGCCCAAGGCTAGCAGCTATATGTCGGTGACGCGGGTCGTGTGGTAGGAACCACTTCGGTGGTCATCCGTAAAAATTGGAACGATACAGAGAAGATTAGCATGGCCCCTGCGCAAGGATGACACGCATAAATCGAGAAGTATCGCACTTTTTGCTTGGTGGCGTGGTCGTGGGCTCGGCTGATGGTGAGCATTGTAACCGTGCGGCTGTTAAGGTGGGAAGACGGACAGAGAAACGAAGGACGCGCAAAAGCTTAAAGCATGAGGGAAGAGGGGATCGAACCCCCGACCGCTGGGACTGGAATCCAGCGCTCTACCACTGAGCTATTCCCCCGATATCAAAACCCAATGTCCAAACATGCAAACTCCATCCACACACCGATACGCATTCCGAGATTCACAATTTCTACCCACTCACCCCGCCACGTCTCACCCTTCTTTACATTCTACGACGAAACCACGTCACGAGCACCTCGCACACATCTCTCCGCTCATCGAAGCGTCGTGTGAAGTGGCGGAGCCCTTATCGATGCGTCGCAGCAGCTTTAAGGAAAGGAGTTGATGTTGCAATGTGGCATGCGCTGAGTGGGCGGTGATGTAGTAGTTGACGTATGGTGTATGCATGGACGGTGAGTGCGATGTATGCATGTTCGTGCGTATGTTTTTATTGTGGTGTATGTGGTGCTCGTGCTGTGAATGTGTCTCTTGGAGTCGAGGTCCGTAAGCCCCTATAGCTCAGTGGTAGAGCACTCGCTTCGTAAGCGAAAGGTCGGTGGTTCGATCCCGCCTGGGGGCTCTTCTTTTGCCTCTCCTGCCTCACTACTTCCTTACCGATGCCTTCAGCTTACTAGCTTGCTAGTTTGCTAGTTTGCTATTGTGCACTTTGCGTGACCAGCCTGTCCGTAGCCACACTCAATGCTCGCTCTGTTGTACGCTGACCGCCCTTCATTATTGTTCCACCACATCTAATACCGAGACACCAACATTCAGATATTCCAGATGAATTCTTGGTGTTGCGGCTGCTCGACGCCGTAGGTAAAGTCGTGCCGAAGACTGCTGTCGCGTGTGAATCGTGTCTGTGAAAATATATAAGAAGATATCATTACGAGCTGCAACAACTGTCGGATCCGCTAGCATGATGTCACTGAGTCTGACCGTGCAAGTTGCCCCCCCTGTTGAGAGTATTATGTACGAGATGATATCCGTGGCGGGTAGAACATAAGCAGCGTACGTAGGTGGTGGCCAACATGCCACCAGCCGAAGACATGCAGAGGTGAAAGACGCTGAATGTTTTGACGATTAAAGATTGTGCTGCCGGCGAGTGTGGATGTTCTCTCTTAGTGTTGTCAGTATTTGATATAGGCGTGCGGTATGCGCCGTATCTATGGGTGGTAGCACAGGTCGTGACGGTATGTGCGGGGTGGTCGTGAGTTTGTTTTTGGTTGATTTGAATCTGATGAGGGTGGGAGTCGATATCTATGTTTTTGTTGCATAGCGATGACAGCTTGGCCGAGTGGTTAAGGCGTTAGCCTGCTAAGTTAATGGGGCAACCCGCGTGAGTTCGAATCTCACAGCTGTCGTTTTCCTTTACCTCAGCAGACTCGCGGTAGCAAAAGCGGCTATTTCCTGGCCTGCTGACCAGGTAGATAGATACCTCTGCTTGTTGCTGGATAATGGTCCCGACCAACACACGTGGCCAAGCGTGTGAAGACATTGCGCAGCTAATTTGAAAATGCTGGTGGATGCACGGACTGGGCTGGTAGCCCTTCCCTTTTCGACGAAAGTGGTTCTGGATGTGAGGCCCAAGGCTAGCAGCTATATGTCGGTGACGCGGGTCGTGTGGTAGGAACCACTTCGGTGGTCATCCGTAAAAATTGGAACGATACAGAGAAGATTAGCATGGCCCCTGCGCAAGGATGACACGCATAAATCGAGAAGTATCGCACTTTTTGCTTGGTGGCGTGGTCGTGGGCTCGGCTGATGGTGAGCATTGTAACCGTGCGGCTGTTAAGGTGGGAAGACGGACAGAGAAACGAAGGACGCGCAAAAGCTTAAAGCATGAGGGAAGAGGGGATCGACCCCCCGACCGCTGGGACTGGAATCCAGCGCTCTACCACTGAGCTATTCCCCCGATACCAAAACCCAATGTCCAAACATGCAAACTCCATTCACACACCGATACGCATTCCGAGATCCACAATTTCTACCCACTCTTCTTTACTTCTACGACGAAACCACGTCACGAGCACCTCGCACACATCTCTCCGCTCATCGAAGCGTCGTGTGAAGTGGCGGAGCCCTTACCGATGCGTCGCAGCAGCTTTAAGGAAAGGAGTTGATGTTGCAATGTGGCATGCGCTGAGTGGGCGGTGATGTAGTAGTTGACGTATGGTGTATGCATGGACGGTGAGTGCGATGTATGCATGTTCGTGCGTATGTTTTTATTGTGGTGTATGTGGTGCTCGTGCTGTGAATGTGTCTCTTGGAGTCGAGGTCCGTAAGCCCCTATAGCTCAGTGGTAGAGCACTCGCTTCGTAAGCGAAAGGTCGGTGGTTCGATCCCGCCTGGGGGCTCTTCTTTTGCCTCTCCTGCCTCACTACTTCCTTACCGATGCCTTCAGCTTACTAGCTTGCTAGTTTGCTAGTTTGCTATTGTGCACTTTGCGTGACCAGCCTGTCCGTAGCCACACTCAATGCTCGCTCTGTTGTACGCTGACCGCCCTTCATTATTGTTCCACCACATCTAATACCTAGACACCAACATTCAGATATTCCAGATGAATTCTTGGTGTTGCGGCTGCTCGACGCCGTAGGTAAAGTCGTGCCGAAGACTGCTGTCGCGTGTGAATCGTGTCTGTGAAAATATATAAGAAGATATCATTACGAGCTGCAACAACTGTCGGATCCGCTAGCATGATGTCACTGAGTCTGGGCGAGCAAGTTGCCCCCCCCCCTGTTGAGAGTATTATGTACGAGATGATATCCGTGGCGGGTAGAACATAAGCAGCGTACGCAGGTGGTGGCCAACATGCCACCAGCCGAAGACATGCAGAGGTGAAAGACGCTGAATGTTTTGACGATTGAAGATTGTGCTGCCGGCGAGTGTGGATGTTCTCTCTTAGTGTTGTCAGTATTTGATAAAGGCGTACGGTATGCGCCGTATCTATGGGTGGTAGCACAGGTCGTGACGGTATGTGCGGGGTGGTCGTGAGTTTGGTTTGGTTGATTTGAATCTGATGAGGGTGGGAGTGGACATCTATGTTTTTTGTTGCATAGCGATGACAGCTTGGCCGAGTGGTTAAGGCGTTAGCCTGCTAAGTTAATGGGGCAACCCGCGTGAGTTCGAATCTCACAGCTGTCGTTTTCCTTTACCTCAGCAGACTCGCGGTAGCAAAAGCGGCTATTTCCTGGCCTGCTGACCAGGTAGATAGATACCTCTGCTTGTTGCTGGATAATGGTCCCGACCAACACACGTGGCCAAGCGTGTGAAGACATTGCGCAGCTAATCTGAAAATGCTGGTGGATGCATGGACTGGGCTGGTAGTCCTTCTCTTTTCGACGAAAGTGGTTCTGGATGTGAGGCCCAAGGCTAGCAGCTATATGTCGGTGACGCGGGTCGTGTGGTAGGAACCACTTCGGTGGTCATCCGTAAAAATTGGAGCGATACAGAGAAGATTAGCATGGCCCCTGCGCAAGGATGACACGCATAAATCGAGAAGTATCGCACTTTTTGCTTGGTGGCGTGGTCGTGGGCTCGGCTGATGGTGAGCATTGTAACCGTGCGGCTGTTAAGGTGGGAAGACGGACAGAGAAACGAAGGACGCGCAAAAGCTTAAAGCATGAGGGAAGAGGGGATCGAACCCCCGACCGCTGGGACTGGAATCCAGCGCTCTACCACTGAGCTATTCCCCCGATACCAAAACCCAATGTCCAAACATGCAAACTCCATTCACACACCGATACGCATTCCGAGATCCACAATTTCTACCCACTCTTCTTT